TCTGGGTTTATATAAATTGATTTTCCCTTAAGTCTGTGAGCGTTTTGAAAAATTTCCGCTTTTTTTTATAAGATATAAATTATTGAATTATAAATATTTGAATTATTCTTAAGCCTTATAGACGTCGTTAATATCTGCTTTAACAATAGTGACACTTGCTATGTCCTTTTTTTATTTCAGTTTTCACCTCCTTACTCTTATTTATTATGTTAATGTTCAGCTTGGAAATAATATCAGTTATAAAAGTCTTTTGAGATTTACTTAAATCTCCCATTTTTAGCTATACTTAATTATTATAATACCTTTGGTGCGTTTGTGGATTCCTTTATATTCAAGTTGTTTTTCAATTGCTTGTTTACCGGTATACGGTATTTATTTTTGATATTTGGTCACTTTTGATTACAATTTTTTTTTAGTGATTAATATTTGGGATATTCTTATAATAGGAGCAATCTTGAGTATAAGAAATTAAAAAAAAAAACAGCTACAGAAAATTTTGAAAAACTACTGTTTTATAAGAAATGAATAAAGTTTATGAAATGATGAGTCTGTTGAGCTCAATTTTTAATTTTGGGGCTTTTTCAAAAATCCATATCCACGCCAATGACTAAGAGGCACGCTAATGACAGTTTTCATTGAATAATGATACAAAATATATTTTTAATATTTATTTATAAGTAAACATTGGTTACAAAAAAAATTAATGAATTAAGCATATTTTATCAATTTCCTCGGAGTTTGGTACTTTAAAAAATCTATTTGAAATTGGCTGTGGTGGCAAATCAAGTTTACATAATATACCAGCTTCTGTAAAGATTTGTCGATCAGTTGATCCAGGCCAATAAAAATATTTACCACTTCTTGCCATAAAGGTAATAGTTATGTTTTCTCCATTTATATCCTCAATTATTCCTAAAAATAATTTACCTCAGTGCTCGATATTAATAAAAAAAGGAGACATACCTGGATACCATGTCTCTGTAAATTGTAGCTACCCATTGTAAATGTAATGCTACTTGCCGGTTTATGTAGATATTAAACCTGCAGGTTCATGAACAGGAGATGGCACTAAAACCCGGTTTTTCAAAAGTTGACTTACGTCTTTTGCGAATTAGGGTAACGATATTAAATTTTCTCCGAAATCGCATTTAATAATTATAAATTATTTACCTTCTGCATTAAAATTTGAATCGAATGTCATTTGAATGTAGTGTCCATGGACACGTATACGTATACTGTTTGTTGCGATGGTTATGACAAAGATAATATATTATCTTATATTATATTATATATTATTATATTATATGTTATATTATTATATATTATCTTTGGGTTATGATATATTTGCCCGCCGCGGCGATTTTTTAATTTAATTAATAAAATTAACTTATTTTTTTTTTAACATTTTATGAAAGGTTTCAATTGATCTCCGCGAAGGTGCTTTTTTAAAAATATTATTTAGTTGCTGCTAAGGAGCAGTAATGGTTTGCATACAATGCTCGTATTAAATCGGTACTAAAGTTCTACTTTACTGCCGATTTCTTTTACTTTACTGTCGATTGTTGACTACTTTACTGCCGATTTTAGATAAAAATATCTTATTATCATTATTCGTACAAAATATCATTGGCGTGGATAGTCCGTCATTAGCGTGGACAAAAAAGTCCACGCCAATGATGCAAGTAAATATCCACGCCAATGACTAAATTAAGGTTAAGGTTCTTTGGACAGCAAATGGGTTAATGAATTTAATTTAAATTAAACATACCTTTTGTAGTTGTCACTGCTCATTAATTATTGTCAATATTTTTCTAATAGCTTTTAGATAAACAAAATTGTCACTAGCACTCCAATGATGCACTATAAACATACGCCCATGAAACACATAACAACTTCACACTTCATAGTTCACTGTGCAACTCTTCGCGTTTGGCGCCAAATCAAGTAAATAGCGTATACCAAAATGTTTATAATAACGGTCGCTAACTGGAAAATTTAAAGTAGGCGGGAATTTTAAATACGTATCATTATAATCCACGCTAATGATGTCAAACTCAGGGACACATTTAAGAAATGTTTTTTTTCAATTCAATTTTATTTTTTTGTCTCAATCCCGCTTAACATATCTTAAAAAGTGTTGTTCATAATATACTATTGCTAGAGTATTTATGGACAGTTTCTTAATTTGCAAAAAAAAAATTATTCTGGTGAAAGGATATCCAGGGACATCCACGCTAATGACAATTTATGTAATTAAAGGGAAAATGTATCGAATTGGTTTTATTTTATTATTAAGTTAATAGTTGTATGAATAGGGTCAATAAACCCCTAAATAAATATAAAATAAAAAATGGTGAACATGCACTTGACTGAGCATGGCAAGTCAGGGACATAAAATTTCCCCTATTGTAAGAATGACCCATTTATGAAGGCAGGGTAATATTATTTGACTGAGCTTAGGTATTTATATTTCAGTTTTAATGGGAATTTTTTGTGTTTGTTGCTAGCGTACCTTATAATTCACGTAGCAATAGGGACCACACACTTATTTGAAAACTTATACCATTAAATAATCTCCTAAATTGAAAGTTTTAATTGGATGGTTCTTCTATTCATAACGCTGTTATAGTGAGAGAATGGATAAATAAACAATTCGAAAATCGCTGAATAGGGCGAAACAGTCCTTTGATTGAGTGGCCGCCGAAATCACCAAATTTGACGCCACTTTCTTTGGGGTTTTGAAACAAAAAGTTTTTAAATTAAGGCCACATACTGGGCTAGGTTAGAACAAGCCTGCGCAGCCATTACGCCATAACAAATACGAAAGGTAACTGTAGTATATTAACGTACGTAAAATTGTGGAGAATTTTTGGAATTCTCTATTTTTGGGTTTTATTGTTGTTTTAAGTTTTTATTGCGTTTTTTATTTGTCGAAACTAAGCATAAGAATATTTATACCATATGTTACTATTAGTTTAATTTTATTTCAATATTTTTTATGGATAACTGGACAAAATAAATTTTTGTAAATGGTGCATTTTTAATTTGGCTACAAAATCGTTCCTACTTAGAATTTTTGGAATTCTCTATTTTTGGGTTTTATTGTTGTTTTAAGTTTTTATTGCGTTTTTTATTTGTCGAAACTAAGCATAAGAATATTTATACCATATGTTACTATTAATTTAATTTTATTTCAATATTTTTTATGGATAACTGGACAAAATAAATTTTTGTAAATGGTGCATTTTTAATTTGGCTACAAAATCGTTCCTACTTAAAAAAATTCAATAAAATTCCGTATAGGGTCGTTTTGAGGGTGGTGTATCCAGTGCCATACATATATTTTTTTTAAATTGCTAATATGAAATTACTCTTAAAAACTGACATACTAGCCTAGGCCTTGTATTTTGTAAAAATATGGCGTTTTTTGCTCAAAAATACAGTTTATCAAAATTAGGCCCTTGTGTAAATTTGTATATGAAAAAGTTTTAATAAGTAAAAATAAGAGTTTTGAAAGTCTTACTTTCTCTTAAAAACTCTGAATTATTAATCGATGTCTCATATCAAATAATAGTTTTTTGCGAGCCGGTAGAAGATTCTTACTGAATTATAATAGAAATAATTATTATAATCATGTATTATATGATTATAATTTCGAGTAAAAAATTCACATTTTCATGATATTAGTGTTACAGTGTACACTACAGATATTTGTAAATGTTCAGAAAAATTAACTAAACAAATTCAGTTAAAATTGCACAATAAATAAAGATTTTACAGGGGTGAGTCGCAAACAAATGGGTCACACTATATACAGGGTGTTTCATAATATATGCGCAGGACTTTAGGATGTGATAGCTCATCCAAAAAGATGAAAAAAATCGCTATTAACTTACCCTCTAAAATGCACAATTTTCGAGATACAGGGTGTTGAAATTTTAGAAAAAAAATCGTTTTTTTCGAATATCTCCGGAACCGTTTATCGTACAAAAAACAGCTTTTGTAAGCATTTTCTACTCAAAATAAGCTATGTTTTTTGCCAGAAAAAAAAATTTTTTTACTCATAATTGGTGGAGATTTTGAAGGGGTAGCGGGTGTTTTTCTCCTCAACTTCTACGCACCTGAAAAATGTACCGTTTTGAGAGGCTTATTCGAACCGCCAATGTTTTCTACACAAAAAAGGTACTCTTGGTCATAAGCTCTAAAGTTGACCGTTTTCGAGAAAAATCAACTTTTATGTTTAAAATCATGGTCAATTTAAAAAAAAAATAATTTTTTTTTACTAATTAAACAAAATTTATTTTAACGTTAGGACAAGTAACAAAACCAAACCATAATTGCAAAATAAAAAATGATTTAAAAGTTGTCTTTGCTAAATTCTCCAAACCGTAAAGGCAACGCATTTCGAACATTTCAGCATTTGTGTAAAAAATCATTTTTTATTTTTTTTTTTAATTTTGCAATTATCGTTTGGTTTTGTTACTTTTTCTAACGTTAAAATAAATTTTGTTTAATTTGTAATAAAATTTTTTTTTCAAAAAATTGAACATGTTTTTAAATATAAAAGTTGATTTTTCTCGAAAACGGTCAACTTTAGAGCTTATGACCAAGAGTACCTTTCTAGTGTAGAAAACATTGGCGTTTCGAATAGGCCTCTCAAAACCGTACATTTTTCAGGGGCGTAGAAGTTGAGGAGAAAAACACCCGCTACCCCTTCAAAATCTCCACCAATTATGAGTAAAAAAAATTTTTTTTCTGGCACAAAACATAGCTTATTTTGAGTAGAAAATGCTTACAAAAGCTGTTTTTTGTACGATAAACGGTTCCGGAGATAATCGAAAAAAACGATTTTTTTTTCTAAAATTTCAACACCCTGTATCTCGAAAATTGTGCATTTTAGAGGGTAAGTTAATAGCGACTTTTTTCATCTTTTTGGATGAGCTATCACATCCTGAAGTCCTGCGCATATATTATGAAACACCCTGTATACATTGTTCAAGGGAGGTGGAAGAAACAAGGATGAAAAGGAAATAACTTCTTTGGAAAAACGATATGCACTCCCTGAGGAACCACACATTATAGTTCACCCTTCTCCCACAGCCAAATCCGGCAAATTCGATTGCACAACAATGTCTTTATCTTTATTATTGGATTATAGACCTGAAGACACAAAAGAACATTCTTTTGAAGTTTCTTTATTTGCTGAACTTTTTAATGAAATGTTAATAAGAGATTTTGGATTTAATATATTCAAAGCTTTATATAATTTGCCTGAAAATTTGAAAGACAAAGTTTATCAAAAAAGGAAATATGATAGGAAGCAGCAAAAAGATGAAGAAAAGAAGAAACATACTACTGAAGAAGATGCAATTAAAGAAGAAAAAACTAAGCTGGATTCAATGGCCAAAGAAAATAAAGATACGATAAATAATGAAAGTGAAGAAGATTATAATGAAGGATGCGATAAACAGAATAGGGAAAGGCACAAAAAAGAAAAAGTTAAGTTGGTTACTAAATATAAACAACTACTTTTGTCATTTGTTTACTTTGATCAAACTCATTGTGGATATATTTTTGATAAGGATATAGAAGACTTACTTTATATACTTGGATTAAATCTTTCAAGGGCGCAAGTGCGAAAGCTGGTTGGAAAAGTTATTACTAGAGACTCATTACACTATAGAAAATTGACAGACAAACCTTTTGATGAAGAAATTATTACTACAAATAAATCAGTGAAAGAATTTAATATAGATTTAGCATTGGGTAATAAAAAATTGCTGCCAATTTTTCAAGAAGAAAAAAATTTAAGCAATGTTACAAAAAATAATGGTATGCTCTTAATTTTTTTAAAGAAACTGTAGTGTTGATTGTTTTTTTTAAGGTATGATCTTATTTGGAGGCGCTTTGATGGATGTTGGCAAGTTACAACTCCAACTGGAAAGAAGTGAACAAGCTAGAATTGAGATTGAATCTAAAATGGTTGAATTAAAAAAAGAAAACCTAAAGCTTTTTGAAAAAAATCATAAATTAAATTCAAACATAAAAAACCTGGATTCTGAATTAAATCGTTATAAAGAAAAACTCAAACATACGGAAAATATATTTTCTAAAGTTAGCGTAGGTAGCGTTAGGGTGACTTCTAAATAGCTTTTTAATTTAATTTTTATTTTTAGACTTCTTCCAAAATCTATCAAAATATTATATTAGATATAAAGGAGAAGATTGAACCAATTATTAACACGATTAATAAAGAAGAAAAGGAACAAAATCAAGAAGAAAGTAAAACTAGATGGATATAAGTTAAATTTCGTTAAATGAAGTAGTTGTACTTGAGAATTTTAGATGTTGTATTACATTTTGAATGGCGTTTTTTATTGAACTAAATAAATAAAGTTTTAAATCCGAATTCATTTATATGGGTTATTTTTTATATAAAAGTTATAAGTGATTTCTATGAGTTATAAATTCAATAAACTTTTTATTACTTAAATTATTTAATTTTAATGCTTTCTATAGAAAAGGTTATCTTTTAAATTGGTTTATTGCTTTATGTAGGGATCATTTTCTGACAATTGTACCTACCTAGTCTGCTGTGGAAAATGGCGTACTCTTAACCAGAGAGCTATATCAGGTCAAAACTTGGCCAAGAATTTCTCTTTCACCTTTGGAAAAGTTTTGCCAATAAACCTACAATATAGGACTTAATATTCCTATGATTTTTGTGCAATCGCAATGGTCATCAATCAGAGCTGTGCGGTACTCGAGTACTTGTACTCAAATTTTGTACGTTAAGTACTTTGTATGTACTCGGTACTCAGTCCAGGGTACATTTTAAAAAATGTACTTGTACTTGTACTTATTTAATTTAAAAATGTAAAAGTGGACACGAGTACATTGGTTGTACTCGAGTACTTTTTTCTTGTACTCGGAACAGCTCTGTCATCAATAAATGATCAAATTGTGCCCAATAATATGCAAAAGGAGTTTGGATTAAGTTAGGTAGGTTAGCCTTGGTTTAATTTTGGGAATGTTTGGGCATGGAAAAAGGATGACAAATGTTTGATGTTTATTTGGGCAAATATTTGGCTTTTGAAAAATTGACCAATGACATGATGATATTGGTAAATATTTGAACAAATCCGGAGTATTTACAAATAAGCGTTTTCTCGTTTATAGTCGTCGCGGCGAATGTTTGAAATTGCGTCAATAATGTCGAATGTCAAAAACCGATTTCTCGACATACGTTTAAAAAACGTGAAATGTTAGGTTAGGTAGTCAGTAGCGTATCATTTTCAAGGGGTCCGCGCGGGTATTGTGGGTGGCCTGATCATCGAGCGACATTTCGAGTAAAGTAAACTTTGCATTGTTTTTTTAAATGAAATGCCTCTGGTTTTTAGATTTTACCTGTATGAATATTGTACAATATTTAAGGAACAAATTCTCCTGCAAATGAAAGCACCATATGCAACTGTCCCGATCATTGTAAACCCTGGCTGAATAGAGATCAATTAAGATTCTATTGAAATGATAGAGTAAGCAGTGTTACACTATGTCTTTATTAATAAATTGTTGGGTTTTTATATCCAGCAAATCTAAACAATTTACAAAACATGTGTTTTTTATTGTATTTTATTCTGTACGCTACTGACTGGAACTTTTGCTGACTAAGCACAAGGTCGCTTTTACGCTACTTGTACGATTAATATCTAAACAATAATAATAAACATATGTTTAACTATTTTTCTGTTAAACTTGGGCTTTAACATTCTGCCGGCCAGGGAGAGGTGATGGTCTGCGTAGAGGTTGAAGTTCGACCATACGTTCCTCTTCATCATGAGTTGACTTAGCGTCTGGAGTGTTGTTTTAAAGGTGGGTCCGTCTGCATTGTATCAAGTGTAAAACAACCTTGATTGAGATTTCTGCACTGATGACAATAACTATTGTTGTGATTGTGCTTGTTATCAGGCAGTGATGGTGGACTTTCTTCCAGATGGCGGATTGTAATCTCTCTGAAATGTCGTCTTCTGCATGTCGTAGATCGTCAAGTCCATTACTGTTTCTTAGGACGGGCTCAATAGGTTTCCAGTCTGGGCGGCTCTGTGGTATAAACTCGTTCAGTTCTTCTACTGTTGATTTCGAGTATGATGCTAATACCGGGTTTGTTGGGTTAGAATGTTCTGCGACGTTTTTATTGAGCATTCTTGATTTATTTGGATAATTGAAGTGTTTGATATGATGACGTCCTCTCTTTCTCCGTTGCAATGTATGGAGATGTGTGATTCTTTTCCAGTTATCACAATCCAGGCGTTGGGCATGTACAGTTCTTTCCAGGTCATTCCAACTACTGTTTTGCATTTTGTGGGGTTTGTTCGATGAAAGATTTCATCCACAATGCAATTTGGACTTGATTTCATTTGTCTGATGGTTGCCGTAGAGCATACAAAGTTCGTTGGCGAGGTTTGTATGCTGTTTTTAAAGTCCATATCGTTTATCTCAAAATAGAGTTGTTGGTTGTAGTCGACTGCTAATACACCTTCCGGTACTTCTGCTGTCCAGTAGGAGGGGTTTTCAATCCGTAGTGGCACGGGAGTGCAAGGTGAAGTTACTCATCCCAACTAACAGGAACTGACTATAGAAATGCAAGTATTCGTTGTCGATTGTCGAAGTTGTCTTCACTATTGGATGATTAATTATGTAAAGTGTTGGAGGTAGTTTCTTTCGGGCATTACTTAGAATTTTGTTTACATGAGATGGTGGAAGTAAATCATGTAAGCTGCCACGACGGGAACGGACATCTAACAAGGCACTGTGTCTTCTAATGCAATCCGTAGCGATACTGTTTGCTACTTGAAATGCGCTTATTAGATGAATGTTGAGTTTGTTTATATCGATTGCAGCAAACCAGTTGTCCATCTTCGTTATTTCTTGCAGTCCTTGATTTATTTTTTGGCGAAATTCTTCCAACCGTTGGTTTATCCTCGCTTCAGTTTCATTGATTATTGCTAGTGATGATACCATGACTTTAGTTTGGTGATTGCTGGCTTGAATTATTTTATCTTGATTTTTATGTAGATTCTCAATGTCTTCGTAAACTTCGTCATTGACCCCAAACACTGATGTCATTAGTTTTCCAAGCAGTCCTCTTCTTTCACGACTTATGTCATCTTCGATCGTGGTTTGGATTACTTGTATTTCTTCTACTAAGTTACTTAGATGGTTTGTTAATGTTGTGCATTGCACGGTTTTTGTTAATCTTTTGGCTTCAGTGCACAACTTTTTAAATTCACTTGTAACGCTTAGAACTGTGTTGACTTCTTCCTTTAGTCTCACTCTTTCATATCGTGTTTCAACCTGAAAGATTCCTCTTTCTACTTTAGCAAAACCTAGATGCTCAACGTAGAAGCCAGGGTTTAGGGATGACACGTTAAATGGTGTAGCGTGACAACCTTGGGCAGCTACACTCATTGCTAACATAATTGTTAGAATTGTTGTTGCTACGTTTCTTTGTATTGGTTTGTCTTTTGATGACTTTCTGTTTTCTTCGTTTGCAGGTAGTGGAATTAGTTGATGTATGTTCTTTTTGCTTGGTAGTCCGTGACTTTTTTTATTGTCACTACTCGTACGTCTCCGTCCTATCTGGGTGTGTTTTTGTTATCTTAGCTAATGGCCATTTGCACGGGTTTATGTCTTTTTATTTTATTATGACGATGTCTCCAATGTTGACATTTTCGTGGGTTCTTTTCCATTTGTACCTTTGCTGTAGATTACTGAGGTACTCTTGCGTCCATGCACTCCAGAGATCTTTTTTTATTTTTTGTGTGGTTCTCCAGCGATTTGAGAGTGTTGTTCCTACATCGAGCATTTCTGGAGGTCCACGCGCTAAAAGGTTTCGTCCAATCAGAAAATGTCCAGGGGTGATTACTTCGATATCATCTGTGTCGCTGGAAAGTGGGCACAGTGGCTTGGAATTGAGGCATGCCTCTATCTGGTACAGCAGTGTTGTTAACTCCTCAAAGGTTAGTGTGGAGTTTCCCAACACCCTTCTTAAATGAAACTTCATTGATTTTACTCCTGCTTCCCATAATCCACCCATATGCGGAGTGGCTGGCGGTATGAATTTCCACTGGGTTCCTAACATGGCGAGTTTGTCTATTAGTTTGTCGTTGGTTACTGATTTTGTGATTTCATCTTTTAAGACATTGCTTGCTCCGACGAAATTTGTTCCGTTATCGCTATACATGACTGACACTTGACCTCGCCTGGATGTGAATCGACGAAATGCTGCTAAAAAGGCTTCCGTTGTCATATCGCTTACGGCTTCTAAGTGGATTCCCTTTGTTGCGAAGCATACAAATAGTATGACTTATGGCCTCGTCCTTTTGTCATCCGTATGGAAATTGGTCCAGCGTAGTCGACTCCTGTATGACAGAATGGTTGGGATGGCGTTACTCTTGGACCTGGTAGATTTTCCATTATTTGTTGTGCCGTTTGAGCCTTGTATCGGATGCATTTGGCACACTTGTGAATTAGGTTTCGCACATTTTTTCTTCCATTTGGAATCCAGTATTTTTGTGTGCGAGGGTTAGTTGATTTCCTCCGTGTAAGGTTTGTTCGTGTGCCTGATTGATGATCAATTTTGTTACGTGATCGTTGTTTGGTAAGATTGCAGGATGCTTTTGTTCGAATGGTAATTCTGAGTTGCTAAGTCTTCCCCCAACCCTTAGAATTCCATTTTCGTCCAAAAATGGTTTCAACGTTAACAGTCTGCTATTCTTTTGAAGTTGATTTTTGGCGCGAAGGGCTGTCACTTCATTAGGCATGTTTGATTCTTGAACCATTTTGACGATTTGAATCGTGGTCCAGTGTAATTCTTCTGTGGTGAGTGGACCTGTTATTTTCTGGCCTGCAGCGTTTTTTATAAATCTTCTGCATTGTGATAATACTCGGACCATTCTTGTGAAGCATCTTGCGTCGAGTTTATCCTCACTTGTAAGCATCGTTTTTCCTCTAATTGTGTTTGTGGATTATTGTTATTTTTTGGCCAGTTTGCCTTGTTTGGAAGCCAGGTTGGTCCATTCCACCAGAGCGTAGTATTCTTTATCTTGGATGGACATATCCCCCTTGATATGGCATCCGCAGGGTTGTCTGTTGTTCCAACATGTCCCCACTGTTCTACGGGAATCTTGGATGTGATTTCGCTCACTCTGTTGGCGACAAATGTTTTCCACCTGGACGGATCTCTTTTTATCCAGGCTAGAGTGATCATTGAGTCTGACCATGCAAACTCTTTTACATTGCTGATTGCTAGTGCCTTTTTTGTGCGATCCATTAATTTTGATAGCTCCAACCGTGGTAAACTGATTTTTGTTTTTATGGGTGCTACCTTTGATTTTGCTGTTAAAAGGTCAATGGTAACATCTCCGTTTTCGTTCATGTTTCTTGCATATATTACTGCTCCATACGCCTTTT